TTCATGGTCTATATTAACGATTGTTCCTTGGTAGAAATCTTTATATTGTATATTTACCACAGTTGGGTTTGATTGTGGCTCATTGGCCTTCACAGTATTAGGTAGATCAATGTTTTGCACCATATTAGGTGTTTGTTTTTCGTTTGCCTCGTTGGGCTTTGCATTTTGATAATTTTTTGTCTCATTGGACGTTTGTTTTTGTGGCTCATTGGCCTCCACCATATTAGGTAGATCAATGTTTTGCACCATATTAGGTGTTNTCGTCTCGCATCGATGTTCAGCTCTAAACTGTGATGGGTAACATTGGTGCATTGAGTGAGCGCAGTATGTAGATGAAAGCGTTGAAGGAGGCAGTCAATAACAGTGAAACGATGCCCGGTTAGCTCAGTCGGTAGAGCATCAGACTTTTAATCTGAGGGCCGTGGGTTCAAGTCCCACATCGGGCGCTATCATTAATTTGGGATGATGAAAAGCAGTTCTTGTTTATTTATTTATTTATTTATTTTTTTCCCCACCATTTTATTTATTTTTTAGTACATTTTCAGCAATGAAGGCGACGGCATTTTGCTGTTTGTACTGAGGCTAGACTACAATGCATCATGATTTTGTATCAGAAAAAGCCTATGCAGTAATGAAAGTTTATATCCGAATTGACGATCCACTGACGCCCGGTTAGCTCAGTCGGTAGAGCATCAGACTTTTAATCTGAGGGTCGTGGGTTCAAGTCCCACATCGGGCGTACAGGCTACCTTTGGAGAATAACTCAATCAGCTTTTTAGACAATTTCTTGTTACGCATATTTTCATTTTGTAGTATTTTGTTTTTATTTCCAATAATATAGGCAATCACTCTAACAATATTAAACCATAAGGTTTTTGCTGCCGCAGCGTAGCGAGCCTGAGCGAGCGAAGCGTAGGCAGCAACTCTAATCTGGAGAAGGGCAAAATTTCTCGATTTTAACCAGGATGCAATACGTTTTCATTAACCGTCTTCCTTTGCGCCACTATAAAAAGGTGAACAGTCCCGGATGTTCTTTCTCCCTTGTGTTTACATTAGCTTGTGTTCTTGAGGTGAGTCGAGTTTTGTTGTGTTATTTTGATTTTTCTTGCTGTTTTTATTATTCAGAGCACTAATTCAAACAAGTATTAACCTCGAGTTCATATTTTCTGTTTCAGTTTTATCATTATCCCGTTATTTCTCGATCGTCTCTTGACAAAGATTGTGGTCTAAAGAGTTCTCGACAGTGAGTGCATCAAGGGCGCTAGATCACTGAAATTATGAGATCGAGATGTCGCTTAATTTATCCAACCTATGATAGTCGATAGTAAATAAAGTTTTACTTATTATCTGAAATGCATCCTGAATCTGTCGCTAAAAGGCCTTTGATTTTACGAAACTCATTCAAATGATCGTTACTAAAACGGTAGGGTTGCTGATTTTTGCGGTCTGGCCAGGAATAGCCTGCGTTACATCCGGTTTTATTTGCCACATAAAACCAGATGTAACGATATTCATCATTAAAATCACTTTGCGCTGGCTTTTATTTGAATCAAATGTAGTTCTTGAACCAAATATGATTGCCGTCTGTGCCAAGAGTAG